GAAGGCCACATACTGCAGGAAGGCTCTGCAGCAATCATGGCATCTTCTTCTCCCCAGGGCAGTTTTTATGCTGATTTCTGCCTTTTGGGGTTTTACATCTGATGGCATTTCTAGCTGGACCTCTCAGAAACACCATCACAACCAGACGGTTCTGTTCACGCTCTCCAGACCTCATTCTCCTTTCAGGCCCATCGTTCTTGCAGCTGCCTCCGCAAGAATCCCATGATGGTTCTTGGCCCCTCACCACCCAGGTTGGTTTGGGATGACCCCGAGGTCCTTCCTGCAGAACTGTGGTCCTTCCACAACCAAAGATACATACCAAATTCCCTGCAGGGCAGCACCTCTTCCTCCCCACCTGCACATCCACCCATTCTAGGCATGATCCCACTTTTCAGGGAGGTGTGAGGCTTCCCAGTGGGTTTGGGTGGTGCACCCTGTTCTGGTGCACTAATTGCGCTGGGCAGCAGAGCAAACAAGCAGTGCTTGAACCCACGAGGCAGAGGAGGCCATTTCAGCTGCGAGATAAATGGATATCGTGGAGCAAGTGGCAATTAGCGTGGGTAAAGAGCCCCTTAGTGACTGTCCCTTACATAACACCTTTGTTCCAGGCCCTTCACTTCATACTCAGTTTGTAAATAAACTTGACTCCCAGCTTTACTGGGGCCTTTATTCCCTCTTTATTTTATTTTTTTATTCTTTGAACCCAGGGAAGAACGAGTCGATTGTTCACCCCCGGGGACATGCAGCAATCTGAGGCYCTGCCCAGCCTGGCGGTGCCCACTCGCCCCAAAACGGGCACTGGCAGCATCCCATGCCAGAGCCACCCACGCAGCCATCACAGCAGCGATTTTAATTGCTCTGCCCTGCCGATGGTGCCCAGGGGCTCATTACGCCGCTGGCAATGAATGGGGGCCTAAAAATGTGATTCTGTAATTGCAGTGACAGTGGGGGCTTTCACTGGGGGGTGGCTTGGCAGGGGGACTGAGCTCTGCCCCCAAAGTTTCGGGTCAGGGAGGAAGCCTGGGGGCTCTGGACCTGTCCCTAATTCACGCCGTGTCCTCCCTGTCATCATCTAAGCTGGGGGAGGTTTTTTTCACACCTTTTGGTGCCACAGCAAGGCTGGAGGTGAGCAGAGGCTCCAAGGCACTGTGGAAGTGCTTTGGGGGATTTGGGGTGCCTGGTATCACTGTGATGAGCAGGGCTCAGTGGCTGTCCTGCCTTTGATGTCCACTGTCACTTTTGCCAGATCCTTTTTCAGAGGGCAGAGCTGCTTGGGGAGTTGTTGAGGCGTTTGGTGCCACTTTTCCTCCACYGCCACCTCTGCCTGGGCTCTCCCCTTGCTGCTGGTCCCTCAAACCAGTGCTGGTGATACTGGTCTGTACTGGGAAGCCGCCGGGCGCTGCTCTTTGTTCCGTGTGGGGATGGTCGGGCCCCTGCTCCTCTCGGAGCCTTCCCTCTCCCATATGGCGCCCATTATTAGACGTGTGCACCAGCCTTGTCTGACAAGGAGCTTTACAGGTGTCGCTGGGATAACGATTCACACTCTAACGAAGGTGGGAAAGATGATTAGCTGGCTTTCTATCAAACAGCACACGGCATCAGCTGCTCCGGGCGGGGGGGAGGCGCTGGGGGCTGTGGATGTGTAAGGACATGCACGCCGGGAGCTCGGGGAACCCGGGCTTTGTCCTGCTTCTAATTCCAATGGACTCTCGGGCACCTCTTTGTGTGCCTTAGTTTCCCCAGCTGTAACAGAGGGATGTTGTTATTGCTTTGACTTGTAAAACACCCTTCGAGCAGCTGATTGAGCTCCTGCATTAGCGAGAGGTGAATTAGGCAGCTCTCCTGGCAGCTGGGCTGCCATGGAGAGGGCAGAGGAGCTGTCAGAGCCGGGGCTCTCAGGGGACAGGGCTGGAGGGGGGRAAACATGAATTAAATTAACCCCCTGGACACAGGCATGCGGTGCAGTGTGCMTGGAGTGTGTCCTGGAGGCTGTGAGGGCCCCGTGGCGTGGGGAAGTGTCCCTGRTGCCACTGTGACATGAAAAAGGGTCCCTGGTGCCAATGTGGCATTGGCAAGCGGGCAGGGCTTGCTCCACGTAGATGTGTCCTTGCCTTGCCCTGTCTGCATGGTGTCTGTGGGGCCTGAGCTTTTCCTATTGATGTATTTTAAATAAAGACTCATTTAGCAGGCAGATCCCAGCATCTCTGAGCCTGACACGGGTGCACTGAACTCCCAACCCCTGCGAGCTGGTGGAATTTTTTCAKCTCTTCCCATATCTTGGATACTGTTGGAGAGAGAGGCAAAATAGGAAAATGAGAGTAAAATGAGATTTTTCTCAGCCGTTCTTTGCTCCAGTGCGGAGAAAGCTGTTCTGTCTCACATGACATCTCCCCAGGTCAGGCTGCGATCCGGAGGTGAGCCCTGCCTTGAAAAGTGACGGAGCAGAGGGCTCCCTGCAGGGCTGGGGAAACTGAGGCACGAGCGGCGTCTGGCACCCAAACCACCCCCGAGGCAGAAGAGGTGTGAAGGTGGGGCTCTCGCCCGAGCTCTTGGTGCTCGGTCGGGGTGCGATCGTCACCCCGCGGTCCGTCCGTCCCAGGACGGCCCCGGGCGCCGCGGGCAGAGCCGGCGCTGCCTCTCGCCGAGCCCGGGGCCGGCGGGATTATCTGCTTAGCTGCACCATCTGTTCCTCAAACTGCCATCATTATGTTCAACTTGGGAAGAAAACGGCCCCTACAGAGAAGCAATTTGTTCGCTGACTAAACCTTTCAGGCTCTCGCCTTCCCCGGCTCCCGCCGCCGCCGCACGGAGAGCTCCGCGCTCGCCGCCGCCGCGCTTAAACAAGTGCGGGGAGAGCGGCGGCCGCGGGCCGGGCACGCCGGGGAACGGGCGCGGGGAGGGCGCAGGGCTCCCCTAATCCGATTACAAAACATAACAGCCTTTCAGAAGGRCCGGGGGCCGGGCGAGGGGAGGAGGAGGGAGGTCCATTTCACACCCGACCCCGACGTCTGGGGGTCTCGCAATGATCTCACTGGAGGGGCTTTTCTTCCCGTCGCAGTGGGTTGCTTTTGAAATGTGCTGCGAGGAGATCAAAAAGGAGAAAGGGGCTGCCTGGGAAAGGGGAGGAGAGGGCTGGGAAGGAGGTGAGGTGGGAGGGGGTGGCTCGGGGCTGGGGTGAGCCCTGCACTTCAGGCTGGGGACGACGA